CCACGCACGCCTCTACAAAGCTGATCCACCGGTCAGGAAATCTCATCCTAGCCAGTGCCCCCTAAGAAACGACCACTCCACCCTATCATATGCCTTAGCCATGTCTAGCTTCAGCGCAATGTTCGGTGCTTGCTTCCAATCCGCATGGGAGAGATGAGGGAGGGGAGATGAGGGAGGGGAGAATAGGGGAAAGACGACTATTAAGAATCTTCGAAATGAGCTTGTTGGTCACGTTACACAGGCTAAAGGGCCTATAGTCGGACCAAGAGCTCGGATTGGGTCTTTTGGGAATCAAGACGATAGAGGTAGACGTGAAGGAATCCAGCATCCAGTGACCGGAGAAGAAATCCAACATTGCCTCCTCAACGTGAGGCTCGACAATAGCCCAGCAGACCTGATAGAAGAGAGAAGAGAACCCATAGGGGCCAGAAACGCTGTTGGGATCAATCCCGAAGACAGCATCCCTAACCTTCTCCCTACTCGGGAGCTCACAGAGGCCGACAAGATCGAACGAAGGATGAATAGTGGGAAAGAATGAAGCATTCAGGGCAACGAGGGCCCCTCTGTCAGAGGTGAAGAGGGTCTGGAAGTGAGAAACAGCCGACTCCCTAATCTGAGACTCCTGGGTCAGGGATGACCCATCAGCCTCAATACTGTGGATGTACGACTTAGCACGCTTCTGCCTAACGAAGCCCTGGAAGAACCTAGTGTTCCGCTCGCCCTCGGCCACCCAGCGAACGGCCACCTTCTACTTCTAGAAATACTCCTTCATAAGGAGTAGGAGTTGTTACTCAGCATGGCAGCGGCGCATCGATGTCCTATTCTCCAGAGTGGGATCCAGATCATATGCCCGCTCAGCCTCTGTGTGCGCACTCTGAGCCGCAGAAAGGCACTGATGGAGATTTTCAAAAATATCCCAGTTCCACTGTCTCCACCTACACCGCAGTCTGCCGAGCTTCGCCTTAAGATTTCGCATCTCGAAGAGCCCATCCGGCTGAAGCCAGGAGTCCCTAACAGTGTCGTGGAAGGAGTGGTGGCGAACCCACATGTTCTGGAACCTAAAGGAAAAGCAGCGGGGGGTTCTCGAAATCGACAACTAATGAGGAGGGGTGAATGGTCCGACCCAAATCGAGTGAGATGTGTGACGGTCGTGACCGCAAACACCTTCGACCATGCCTCAGAAACCAAGGCACGATCGAGCCTCTCTTTGGGGTCATCCCTAACCCACGTGAAGGGCTCATCCTCGCGTCCAGCATCAATCAACTCACAATCCACCACAGCCTGGGCAAAAACCCACATCTTCCGAGAACGGTCCGAACGACTACCCACACGCTCATCGAAGTGCAAAAAGATGTTGAAATCGCCACTAACCATCCATGGAAATCCCTCCATACTCTCCGCAATCTCACGCAGGGTGTCCTAGAGGTCATTTCGCCCGACCCTATTACACTTGGCATAAACCAAAGTATGGAATATGGGCTCGGGGAGGTGGGCAGCAGAAAGCTCAACATGAAGCACCTGATCGATATCCCGGAGCACCCTACATGTATAATCACAACAGTGGAAAAACCAGATCTTATGCGAAATGTTACCCACGCCCGAGTGGAAGCCAATGTGGCGTGAATAGTAGTCAAAATTAGGGGTGCGAAACAATTGGCTCAATAAAGCCAACTAAGTCAAGTCTATGATCACGAATGAGAGAATGAAGATGAGCGAGAGTGGCCCTATTAGCCAGGCCCCAGCCATTCCAATTTATGGATGAGATAGACATATCAACGTTCGCAAGAGCCACCGGACGTGGTCTGCCTGTGGCGAGGCAGGGTCGAGCCACCTGAAGGGGGGGGGGAGGTGGCAAAAGGATCGAAGAGCAGGGGAGACTGTCCGTCGTGTCACGCACGGTGTGGGTCTGGTCTTCAAGGGGGGACGCCCTCGATAGGTGCTCGTAGCCTGCGAGTCATCTGGCTGAGCAATCGGATCCAGAGCGGCACTAGGGACCTGCCCCCATCTTCGGGGCTGTTTCCTGTCTTTCATAGTGCACGAAAAGCGCTAGAGGCGAAGCTCTCGCACGAGACGTCATGCTGGGCGCGGTTAAGACCGCATGTCTGCTCAGGGAGGGGAGGAAGAGAAACTCTAGTCGACGGTGCACTCGGGTGCTCGCCGACAGAGTGTGGCTGGTGACTAACTATATGCTGTGCCGAGCTCCCAGTCTCAGCAGAGGGGGTGTGCCAGCTCATCCCCTTTCGGGAGAGCGGTGATGGGAGCTGTCCTCATCTGGATAGAGCGGTCCTGGCTAAAGGAATGAATAGACAAAAGAACAGCAACGCAGGTGCTGCCATCAGATAAGTAGATGGACGTGCCACTGGTCGAGGTGTCTGGCTACTCCAAATCATCTACAAGAAGGTCATCATCGTCTAAAAGAGCAGAATCCGAAAACCTAGGGGGGGACACTAGTGGAAGGCTCAGCCTCATCCTCTGCATCGGGGGAAAGGACTGCAAAGAACCAGTATTTAGCCTTAAAGGCCGACTGTAAGGTATCTCTGGGAAGAAAACCCATGGCCTTGGCCTTGAGCCTTACTGTAGCCAACTGCTTAGGCTGGTAAGGATGAGCATCCTTCCCATTTTCTGCAGTGGCATCCATCACAGCCTTGCCCTTATCATTGATCCCCTTTGGGGATCTGGGCGCATGGAGAAGGTTTAGCCCTTTCCCTTCAGGTCTCTCCGGCTGTTGGAGGGCCCCGGCTTAGCCGAACGATGGCGTTGAGGCAGAGTGGGTCGTGGCTTTTTGCCACTAATGTAGCAATCAACCGTTATATACCCAACATGGCTGCACGAGGTGCAGAAAGTAGTGATCTTCTCATAGATCACCCGCTGAGCAAAGGTCTTCGAGCCCTGCTCAATCTTAATCTCATGGACGGGCTCGACCCTAAGGTCAATCTCTACACAAAACCATTCCATGTTAGCCCTCGACTGGAGGGCCGTCGGGGCATCAATGCAGACCGACTTTCCAGCACACTTTGCAAGTGTGGTGATAGATCCCGGTCATAAAGGTTTAGTGTGAGGCCGGGGAGACGGCACCACACGGGGAAGACGGGCGTCTCCGTCTTCTGGTTGAACCCAAAAGTATACTTGAATACCCTAGCTGGGCATCCACACACGGGAACGGAGGTCTTAAGCCAAGCCTCATTATAGTCCTCGGGGAGGTGGAAGGAGACTATGAGATGGTTGAAGTTATACCACTTATAAGACAATCTACCCTTAAAACCCAATTTACCTAATCCAACAGAAATATCTTGGGGGGCAGGGATAGCATAAGATAACTTAAAAACTAAGGTGTTAGCTAACTTACCGACAAGGGTGTCAGCTTTGGCTTGAGATAATCGAACCTTCACTTTGTTTCCCTCCGAGTGGATGATGGTCCCGCAAGCATGGTCATATTCCCTGTCAAAAGGAAATTCTTTGGGCGTTGGTCGTGTGGTACGTGGGCTATCCCCTCTCTTCCCCGTAATAACCTCCCAGAAAGATAGCGAACCTGAGGGAGTGCTCGGAACGGTCCCGGCTTCAATAGGGTTGGCCGTGGAATCGCCCGATGGTGGAGTCACTTTTGGGGAGAATCCGTAAGAGTGGGCCGTGGAAGCTGTATTTGGAGTCATGACGATCACTCCGTCTTCACGGATATACAACACTGCTGAATCGGGATTGCCGGCAGCAAGAGGGTCTGCTCCGGCGAGGTGGTCAGACGGGGGAGGAGGGTTAGGTCGGTGGCCGAGAGAACTGGTTTTAGGCAACTCCGACCAGGCCCCAGGTGGAACTCCGGCCACATGAACAACTCTGGTTGCCGTGCCGGTGACGGTGCCGACGACGGGCAGGTGGTCGGCGCTAGTTAGGTGAGTGGTATCAGCCGCCGGAGTGAAAAGAGTTTTTAGCGAGGGGATTGTGGGCTGGATTATTTGCTGAGAGGAGAATTGAGTGGTGGTGGGCTGGGAAATTGTGTTTGGTTTGGGCTGAGTGAGATGTGGGGGGAGGCCCAAAGGAGATGGGCCTGGGGAGATTGAGATATGGTTGAGGTTTGCGGGCCCGAGGGGGGAGGTGGGCCGTGAGGGTTGGATCTGTAGTTGAGGAGAGGAAGAGCCTGAGTGTGGCCGATTAAAGTGGGCCGTTTGATCCGGTTCGTTGGGCCCAAGTGATATTTGGCCCAATTCCTTTTCCCTTACCTCATGGTGTTGGTGTTATATACTTAAGCTTTGCTTTAGTGGATATTACACTTGTTATTCCTTGATGAATGAGAATTATGTTTGGTTAAATAAGTTCCACGTTCTGTTGTTTTGCATGTAGATAAGTGGGTCGTCATCGGGCGTACCGAAGATCACTATATCAGTTACTTGCGAAACAAGAATCGTTAGTTCACAACCTAGATGGAATTGAACAACCCATCGGAACGGTTGTAGTGTCAACCGTACGGTTTTTCTTGACCGATTAGATGCACTAGTACATTTATGTATTGAACAGGATCCCAGAGAGGGATGTTCGTTTTATACTGATCGTCGTAAACGAACTAGGCCTCAGTTAATTATTGTGTGCGATTAACCCGTAAGATATTAAATAGGCATGTGCACATAATTGTTGTTGCTTTGATTCTTTGGGTGAGATCCAAGCCGGGTCGACATACTTAATGAATTGGGTAATGACAATATGTGTTCGATGCGCTATTAGGATATTTACGGTCACCATGTGCGTTAGTATGATGATGTCCCCGAAGTG